ATAACTCAAAGGTAAAAACCCAGACGAATGTTTATACATGAGGCCGGAATTCCCACACTTTCTAGTCAACTCTTTCACTTTCGTTTTTGGAGTCATCTGCATCTCCTTCATCATCATCATCATCGCTGTCACTCTTAGAATGCAATCATCATCATCATCGTCATCGTCTTCGTCATCATCATCACCTTTATTACCATCACAAGACTTACCAGCATCCTTATCATCATTATCGAATTTAGAGCCTATATCATCATCATCACTCAATTCACAATCATCATCATCACTCAATTCACAATCATCACCATCACTACCAGCGTCACGATCATCATCACCCGCGTCACAATCATTATCATCACCACCAGAGTTACAATCATCATCACCAGCGTCACAATTATTATCATCACCACCAGCGTCACAATCATCATCATCACCACCAGCGTTACAATCATCATCATCGTCGTCATCGGAAAAACCGAGGAGGAGCAAAAAGTGATGACGATGATGATGATGATGACGTTGTTGTTGACGTCATCAAGGTGGAACAAGATCATCATCGTCGTCGTTATTATTATTATCATCATCATCATTATTATTATTATTATTGTTGTTGTTGTTGTTGTTGTTGTCGTTGTTGTTGTTGTTGTTGTTGTTGTCGTTGTTGTTGTCGTTGTTGTTGTTGTTGCTGTTGTTTTTTTTCACGATCGTCTTAAGCTGCCTTGTTAAATGGGCACTCTTTCAATGGTTCTATGTTTATAGTGGATGATGACGACGACGACGATGATGATGGTGGTGGTGATGGTAAAAATAATACTGACGAATTAATTTATTAATCAATTAAATAATATTACTTTATTAATTAATATTTATTTATTAATTTTTTTCCAAATTTGATAGAAAGACCTAGTCACAACACAAAAGAAGTCTCGTTAATACATATTTATATATGCATTTTTATTATAATTTGTTTGTCTGTCTGTCTGTCTGTCTGTTTGTCTGTCTGTCTGACTGTCCGTTCGTTTACTCAATTATTCTTTGGGCAATTCATTCAATGATCAATTATTTAATTATATTATATTACTTAATTAATTATATTATATTATTAATTGAATTAATTCATTGGAGGATAATAATAATTTTTTGGAATAATTTCACACTTGAATTTGGTTTATTCAAGGGATGAATGAATGGATGAGTGAATAAAAAATAAATAAATGAATAAAGACAGCTAACCATGCATTCATCAGTTTATTTACTTGTTTATATATCCATTCATTCATACATTCATTCATTCATTCATTCATTCATTCGTTCATTCATTCATTCGTTCATTCGTTCGTTCGTTCATTCATTCGTTCGTTCATTCGTTCGTTAGTTCGTTCCTTCGTTCGTTCATTCATACAAAGCGCATATATACATATTTATTTGCATATTTTTTTATTCATTTTTCATTCATTCATCCATCCGTGCATTCATTCATTCAATAATTCATCTTTCTATTTATTTTTCTTTTCATTCATTCATTCATTCGTTCGTTCGTTCGTTGTGTTTGTCCGTCCATCCATCTATCCGTATTAGATCGATTTTGCAAACAATATATTACAAATAGCACCAAGTGTATAGCAGTGTGTATGTTTGTTTGTGTGTATGTGTGCGTGTGTGTGTATGTTTGTATGTATGTGTGTGTGTCCTGTATGATCGGGTATTTGTTGTTTTTTATCTATTGTTATCTTTTCCGTCTCTATCTAATTTGAATAAATGTATCATCTAGTAACTCCTCGAATTTGTTGTTGTGATGTTGTGTTTGTTGTTGTTGTGGTGGTGGTGGTGGTGTTGTTGCTGTTATCTTGTGACGTTGTTGCTGATGTTGCTGTTGTTGTTATGAAGTTGTTGTTGATTCATCTTCACATATGCACACACACACACACATACTCACATATACATACATAAACACATACATACATACCAACAACACCTCTTGCAATGTTGTCGGTTCTTCAGTGTAGAGTTTTTTGTAGGATTTGGGTTTGGCAGTGACATACAGCCGAACGAGCGTCTTACTGGATATGATTTTGTTGGAAGAGTTGGAAGAAAAAGGAATGTTACTTTAAATAGTTAACAGACGAGCTCGTGTGAACTTAAGGCTTCCGATTACTTAACAACACTCCCAGACTCGGCTTAGCGACTTACTTGGCTCGTCGGTATAACTCACATCGTGGTGTGTTTATAATGGGAACTGTCTGGCACGCCTATACAATTTTTCAGTATAAAAGGAGGTGATTTCAAAGCGAGGCAAACTGTTTGTTCAACATCTAACCAACTGATCTCTGGATGTGGCCCTGTTTCTCGAGAGTGTCAGGAAGTTAAAGGGCCGAAACACTCATTGACGGAAACTCTTCCTCTGAAGAATCTCGCCGAACGCTCGCTATGTTCCAGTTTCTACATACATACCGTTGTAACCAACCCTTTAAACTTGTAGGGTACGGTTATTTCTCTCTACGTTGACACACACGCACACGCACACATACGTACATACATACATACACACATACGTACATACATAAATACACACATTCATACATACATACATACAAACATACACACATACATACATACATACATAAATACACACATTCATACATACATACAAACATACACACATACGTACTTACATAAATACACACATTCATACATACATACATACAGATGCACGCACACACACGTATACATACATACATACATAATATTTTATCGATCAAACATCAATAAATTATTTCATCCATCCATCAAAAGATAAACGAATAAAGAGAAAACGGATGGAGAAAAAAATAAGAGAGAGAAGAGAAAGAGAGAGAATGAAAAACAGAAAGTAATAAAGAGATATTGAATGTATAATAAAAGAATGGAAGTATATTATGAATGTATCATTTTAATAGAGAGAGAGAGAGAGAGACTGATAAAGAGAAATATACGCTGATGATGAAGATAACGACGACGATGTTATTGGGCGATATTAAAAACAATGAGAATATGACGACATCAAATACATAGAAAATTATTTATTTATTGAACGGCGATCAGAGCGCAAAAGAAAACAAAATTTTATTACATGCACTGTTCTTTGTTTACATTTTATTATCACCCGCCCGGTTGTTTTGTTTATTTATTATCGCTCAGGACATATGGATAGTTGTTCTTTGGTCATTTGAACGTCCTCCATGTTGCTTATTCGTCTTTGTTCTTTTTTTGTTCTATTGTTGGCCGTTTTT